GTATTTTGTTTGCAATAGCTATTGAAATCTTAAGTGATGATGATCTTGAACCATGCACAATAGATGAATGCTAACATCAACATGATTGGCCGAAATGGCAAAAAGCAATCCAAGCGGAATTGGATTCTCTTACAAAGCGTGGAGTGTTTGGACTTACAGTCCTAACACCTAATGATGTAAAACATGTTAGTTATAATTGAATTTTTATAAGAAAAATGAATGACAAAAATGAGATCACGAGATAGTAGCGCAAGGGTTCGTGCAGAGACCCTAGATTGATAATGAAGAAACATATTCACTAATAATGAATACAATTATATTTGAGTATCTTATTAGTACAACAGTCTCAAAAGAATTCGACATGCATCTTATGGACGTTATTATTGCATATTTATAAAGTAAGTTAGATACTAATATTTGTATGAAAGCCCAGAAAGATTACAATTGCCTAAAGCAAACACATCAAAACCACTAAACATGTATTCAATTAAGCTAAGACGCTTTTTATATGGATTGAAACAATCTGGAAGAATGTGGTATCTCAATGGGTATTTGGTAAATGAAGGGTATATTAACAATCTCATAAGCCCATGTGTATTTATAAAAAAAATTAGAATCTAGATTTGTCATCATTGCAATACATGTTGATGATATGAATTTGATTGGAACTTCTGAAGAGTTGATAAAAGTTGCTGAATATTTGAAAAAAGAAATTTGAGATGAAAGATCTCAAAAAAAAAATAAAGTACTATCTCAACCTACAAAACGAGTATACGTTAAATGAAATTCTTATCCATCAAACAACCAATACCGAAAAGGTCCTAAAATGGTTTAATATGGATATAGCATATCCATAAAGTGCTCCAATGGTCGTCGATCTCTTGACGTCGATAAGGGTCCCTTTCGTCCTAAAGAGAAAAATAAAATGCCTCTTGATCTTGAAGTACCATACCTAAGTGCAATTGGTGATTTGTTATACTTAGCACAATATATTAGGCCTGATATAGCATTTGCGATCAACAAGTTGACAAATTTTAGTTTTGCACCGACTCGATGACATTGGAACCATAGATTTGGGCTTGTCATACTCAAAGCAAATTAGTAAATAGTTCACATTTAATCGGTTATGTGGATTTTGGATACTTATTAGATCCCCACAAGGCTCATTTATAAACTAAGTATGTTTTTACATGTGGTGACACAACGATCTCAGGGCGATCGACCAAGCAGACTTTGATTGCTACATCTTTCAATCATTCTGAAATACTTTGCAATCCATGAATTGAGTTGTGAATGTGTATGGTTAAGGTCTGTAGTCCATCGCATCTGAGATACTTGTAGAACTCACTTTGATTACAGATTCACCAACAACCTTATTTAAAGATAATGCTGCTTATATTGCACAAATTAAATGATGGTTTATCAAAGGTGATAGAACCAAACATATTTCGCTAAAGTTCTTCTGCACTCATGAACTCCAACAGAGTCATAAAATTGAAATAAAGTAAATACAATCTAGTGACAATCTTGCAGATCTATTCACTAAAGTTTTACAATCATTATCGTTCAAAAAATTGGTATATGACAACGGAATGCGTTGGATTTATGACCAATTCAGTTGATTTCTTATCAAAGGGTAATTCACATCAAGATATAGGATTTGTGCACGTTGTACTATTTTTCCTTCATCTAGATTTTGTCCTATTGGTTTTTCCTAACAAGATATTAATGAGGCAGCATTACTGCATCTAACGATATTCTAAGATTCATCTGAATATGTACTATTTTTCCTTCGCTGAGTTTTTTTTTACAAGGTTTTCCTAGCAAGGTTTTAATGAGACATTATTTTACCATAGTGGTTATCCAAATAGGAGTGTTGTAAATATTACATTGTATGTGTGTGTGTGTGTATATTGTATATATATTGGATGACCCTTAACCTTCTAATTAGTACCCCAAGTAAATAGGAATTAGTGGGTGTTAGTGCATTAGCCTATAACTTCCTACCCCTTTGGTATACTACCTTTATTATTGTATTTGATAGTTATTTTGTTTGGAGGCCTATAAAAAAAAGTCTTGGGTACATTGAGAAATACAAGTTAAAAAACTATTTCTCTAGTATTTTTATATTCTCGTCTCTTTGCAATTTTATTCTCTATATCTCTTAGTTTTAAAACACATAATAAATTTTAGATATTTGTGTGGCAATTCAAGGTGCAATGTTTCTAACCATTTTCTCAAGCAAGTTTTAAATTTAAAACAAAAGAAAATTTTGTTAGAATTGATAAAACTTGTTCTAGCCAAAGTGTATCATATGGGAATCAACCGTTCATATGATTCTTTAATAGAAAGAAATCACAAAAAATGTATGTTGTTGCCATTTTAAAAGGATTAAGAAGTACTAAAGTAATGTCTAAACCTAATGATGAGTAAAAATGTTCACTTTATTTGTGTGTGTGCAATGTTGAGACAAGATTGAACTTCTCAATTCCACGGGAATCCAACCTAGATCACACAATTTGTGCACATTGATCAACGAATTAGCACTCAGATCATGAATCTGGGCTAATTTAGAGCAGATTTGGCATAAATTCACGAATTCAAAACATTGAATCCACAGATTTATTTTTACAATCCTTGAATTGAACAATTTCGGGATCCATTCCCCAATTTCAAAAAATTTTATATTACATATTTTGTTAGACCTTAGCCCAAGGGAAAATATAAATAATTCACTATGTTGGACCCAACAAAAGGCCCATTTATTTAGGCAAAGCAATGAGAAGCTTGGGTTATTTATAAGTTGTATCTCTTTCTATTTTCTATTGCACCATATACGCGGTATGGAATAGTATTTACCTGTCTTTTCACAGGTGTTTTTTGATTGCCCTTATTGTTGCACTATCGATGTGGAATCAATGCTAACTTTCAACTTGCTGTTAGCTTCTCTCTCGCTGGCTTTGTGCTTCTTGCTAATCTTATCTCTTATTTCACTGTTCTTTTTTTTTTTGAACTAATATTTTTCTTTACTTATTTACAATATATTTGAATATAATATTTTAATTTTTTTTAAAAATGGCACTTTCAAATGTGTTCCCGCTCTCAAACATTTTTAAATATTGCCGTTTTTACACTCTCGCTCTTGCTCACGTTTACACTCTATGTGATCTAGGATCCAACTAAATGAAAAAAAGCAAAGACTAGGACTGCACTAGTTACCTAACCTCAACCAAAGGCTATAAGAAATGATCAACCATTTTCTGAAGATCTTTTTTTTTTTTTCTTTAGACCCTTCGCTCCATGCCATTTATCTCTTTCGATCGATAAAGGTTGGCTCTGTCATAACATTGATTATTTGTGAACTTGTAATTTTTTTTTACGGAGAATTATACTCATATCTCATGAGATTTGTTACTTAATCATTTAGACCTTTGATATTTTAAATATTACACATAGACCCTTTAAGATTTGTATGGACGTAACACCTAGACTCCTGTCGTTAATGTCTATTAGAATATCTATTAATGAATTATATTCAAACCCTCTGAAGTTTATAGGTGTGTAATATTTAGACCCTCAAGTTTAAATATATTATATTTAGACAAAAAATAATCTAAGCAAAGATAGAATATCAAATATTTTAAATTTTGTAACCAAAATTCTTGTTCCATTATATCATTTATTATTATAAAATTAAAAATAAAAATCTAATTTTTCTTTAAAAATCATAATTAATATATAATTATACTATCTATTAACTGATCAAACTACTCCAATTAAAGATATAAGATATTGTATTCATTACAGTTTGACTCATTCTTTAAAATATTTGATATTTTATCTTTGATTGTAGTATATTTTGTCTAAATACAATATTTTAAACTTGAAGGGTCTAAATATATATATTAAACAACTAAACTAACTCAATTAAAGATAGAAGATATTGTGTTCATTACAGTTTAATCTCTTGTTTATTTTTTTAGTTTTATTTTTTTTTATAATTGAATACTAATTATGATTTTTTTTAAAAAAAATAGATTTTTATTTTTAATTTTGTATCAATAAATGGCATAATAGAACATGAATTTTGGTTATAAAATTTAACATATTTGATATTTGATATTTATTTGGAGTATTTTTTTGTCTAATTATAACATTTTAAATTTGAGGGATCTAAATATTACACGCATATAAATTTTAAAGGGTCTAGGTGTAATTTATTGACAGATATTCTAATTGTATTGACGACAAGAATCTAAATATTATGCACGTACAAATGTTAAGAGATTTGTATATAATATTTTAAATAATAGGGAGTTTAATTGATTAAGTGACAAATTTTAGAAAATTTAATTATAATTCTTTTTTTTTTTTCCCATCTCATGGCAAGAAACTGGCCATCCTAGGAAAAATCATCTCAGGTGGTATTCTTTCAAAGTTTTCACAAACAACCTTTATTTAGTAATAATTTAGTTTACAATTTTATTCTTAATCACAATTAAAATGTCAATCATATCCTCTTGTTTCCTTCAACTTTATTTTTGAACTTTAATTAATAATTAATTACATACATGAATTGTTTGATTTTAAAATGCGACCTTGATCTTTTGAAAATTTACTGATTAAAAACAAGAATAAAGTTTTCAGGGGATAACACAATTTGGTAAAAGAGAAAAAATTTTAAAAAAAGTTTTATTTGTAATCATGTATTTTAATTTGAGAATAAAAAATAATAAAAAAATCAATTTTAGGATAATATTATCTCCGTCGAGTTACACGTGTACATTATTACCAAGTTAAAAGACAAAATGTCCCTATTCGGCTATTCCCATCAAGCGGCCTGACCCACTGCGTGGAGGACAGCTAAATTGTGCCAATTTGTACGATATCATTCCTGTCTGCCATTTGTCGAGGTGCAACTACCCTACAGGGCCACAGTTGATCTGAGGCAACAACATTTGGTAGAGTGGACGACTACTGAATTGCTTTTTCGAGATACAATGGAGTATCCCTCTAGGCATCACCACCGTCGGGAGGGAGGAGATGAGGATTACCCACCTCCACCGCCTCCCTTCGATCCATCGCGGCCACATCCTCCGCCTTCTTACTACGGAGGAGGTTCTGAACCGCCGCCGCCTCCGCCACCCTCTCAGGTGGCTCATGTGTTTCATGAAGGTCCTCCTCCTCCTGATTATTATCATCAACAACCACCACCACCGCCATCGTACCATCCACACGCTACCGCGGTTCAACATGTTTCTCACGAGAGCGAAACCAATCCGCATCACCATCTTCCCCACTTCAGTCACCACAACACCCACCAACCCGGATCCGAACTTGCTGAAAAACCCTCTGTTAGGGTTTTTTCCAAGGCCGAGAAGAATTACTCCCTCACCATCCGTCACGGCAAGGTCATTCTTGCACCTTCCGATCCGTCCGATCGATTCCAGGTATTTGTTTTTGTCTATTTGCTTTTTCCATGGACGATCACCCTAGCTTGGTAATGCTTCGCTTCCAGTTTGTGATTCCTTCAATTAGTTTCAGCTTCTTTTCTTGAATTTTTGCCTTTTTCTTTTCTTAGAGTATTTCTAACCCTAACTCATATTTAAACTCAAATTTAAATTTAAGCCTAAAAAATTTGTNTCGCTTCCAGTTTGTGATTCCTTCAATTAGTTTCAGCTTCTTTTCTTGAATTTTTGCGATTTGCTTTTCTTAGAGTATTTCTAACCCTAACTCATATTTAAACTCAAATTTAAATTTAAGCCTAAAAAATTTGCTCCAACCTTTCTTTCAAATTTATACCAAAGGGAGACTCATTTTTTTACTCAAATCCTTACCTAGCGATCTTTACTTCTTTTTAAATTTTGGTTTGCCCTTATTTAAATTTGAATAATGCTAGATGAACTTAAAAATTAGACTTGGTAATCTCGACCATTGAATAGGTAGTGGGTCTCAATAAATACTGAAATCAAGCCTAATTTTTAAGTTTATATGTTAAGTCCACGTAGCATTGCTCTTTAAATTTTAGTTTTTCGTTCTTTAAATTTGAGTTGAGCCATTTGTATCAAATCAAGCTTTTTACTATAATGATAATTTAAATTTGATTAAAAATTTGAGTCATGGTCGGAGATGTTCTTATGTATAATGTGATTGATAACTATGAATAGTTGTCTAAATTGTGATTTTGGGAATTGCAGCACTGGATCAAAGATGAGAAATACAGCACAAGAGTTAAGGATGAACAGGGGTATCCCTCCTTCGCATTGGTCAATAAAGCCAGCGGGCAAGCCATGAAGCACTCCATCGGGGCCACTCATCCTGTATGTTCATCGTTGACATCCTAACGCTCAAATAATGACAATTTTGAGAGATTCTAAATTGTCAACCAGTCGAATTGTTACCATATTTCCTTTAATTTCATTTAGCTTGATCTAGAAAGCACGGATACTTGCGGGGGTTGACGTGGTAGCATCGCACACGTGTCTAACATAGATTTGCATAGGACACGGATATGAGTGGGATAAAACAGGATATGTATCTGACACTTTTACTAGTGTCCTGAACAAGAAAAGATTTTATTTTCCAACCGGATATGGATACGAATACGTGAGCATTGATACGATGGGATATAGGAGCGATATGGCGGGGTAACATCTATTAATTTAAAAATTGAGGGGACTGAAACGACAAAAAAAAGAAGAGAAATGTTGCTGTTTTTTAGGGCTGGAAAATGAAAAAAAAAAAAGGGGAAACGTCGTTGCCTTCGTTCCCAGTCCAGAATTGTGACAGAGAGAAGAAGAAGAAGGCTTCAACGATCAAACCAGTCTCCAAATCTTCTTCAGCAACGAGGAGAAGAAAAGGAGAAGAAGAAGAGGTAAGACCATACTTGAGACTTGAGTACTGAGAGAAGAAACAATCAGCCACATGTCTCTTCCTCTTCGATACATCACGTCCAGATTTGGCCTAGTCAATCTCCTCCTCTTCTTCGATCTTTTCCTTTTCTTCTCCTTCTTCTCTCCTTCCAAAATCTCCTACAAGCTTCGGTGAACAGAGATTTTACTCTTTTATCTCTCTCTCTCTCTCTCATGATTTGAACAGGGACTTTTCCTTCAATTTTTTCTTTTTTAATATTTTTCTTTTTTTTTTTTGGGTATAATTTGTGTATAAGTTGTCAAATATATTAACTTACCCATTGCCCAATTTGATGTTAGTCCAACTGTCCAATTTAGTGGTAGCCCACACCCCAATTGTAACATATTAGTCCATTGCCCAATTGTAATATTAACCAACTATTCAATGATTGCTAGGTCTTTTTATTTATATAAAAAATATATAATATTATTTTAATAAGCCATACTCGTGTCTATATCTTGAAATTTTGTTGTATTCCCGTGTCCGTATCGTATCGGATACGATACTCCTATCCGTATTTGTGCTTCTTAGACTTAATGATACCAAAAATCATAGCTCAGTTTAATCCATTATAGCTTGATATTATTGAGCTCAGCTAGATTGACCTGATATGGGCTGTCCAACACAAGCAAACCAACTCCTAGATCACTAAGTGATATCCAAGAAGCACGGCTACAACCACAGTAGCTTGGATCCAACGACTTGAAGAAGAAAAAGTGCCTAAGAAGCCAATCCTACCTTGGACGGCAAGCTACCGTCTCAAAGAATGCCACCTCTGCTTCTAGAAGCCATAATAGGCATTGGTTATGATTTTCTCTAACGGTCAAATATTCTTCACTTGATTCCAACAGATTGAGTGGACCACACAATCTTGAACAAAGATAAAAAACTACTCTTGTATAAATAGAAAGAGATATTCTACTAAAAGGAGATTGGAACCCTATTGTATTAATCAGCCTATTTTGTCTTACGAAATACAGAGGGAAAGGAGCAAGAACCTCCTTTAAAGTGGATTAGTCAATCTTGTTAGCTGATGAACTACTTCTCTTTTGTTTTTAGCCTTTATTTAGTTGCTTTAACTGACATCCATACACACCGTACACCGAGCATTGAGCTCGCTCAATTTTCTCTATAGTCATTCGAGTGTTTTTAAGACCCAATCTAGTCTAGCCACCATACTTGACTCACCAAGGCCTCAAATAGCTCATAACTAACCTAGCCAGAGTTGTCATTCATACCTCTCAGTTTTTTACACCATTAGTTTGGTATTGTCGGTTGGAATGATTGTCATCGTAAAATTTTATCTTTCTCTGTTTGATTGAGGGTCTTGATGGGAGGTATAAGTAGGAACCCGAAAAACTAATCGTAGGTTTCTCCTTCGTCGCCTCCACCAGCAGATCCGTCTTTGATGAAGGAGCCAGACCTACCAACAAACTATGTTACCTTCTCAGGCGAAATCAGTAGCTCGTGGCCCAATGACTAGGAATCCCTCAGAATCCTCCTCCTCCATATCCTCTTAATGTGGTGATATAGAAGAACCGTTAGAGTCATTCTAGAGAGAACCTTCACCATCGTCAGACCCAGTAGGATCATGAGAATGAGACCCATAGCAGAGCTGGGGAGGAGAGGAGGTACAACCTTCAGCCACCACTCCCCCAAGATTTCTTGAACCAGTACTAGGAAGAAAAAATCAATAAGTCTAGAATGAATTAGGAAATGTAAAGAATATAGGTAGGAATTGAGCTCCAGTAACAATGGAGGCCTTGATCTAGCAAATGGAATCTCCTTTCACTTCTAAAATTTTGCATTTTCCTCTTTCTGCCAAGTTTAAGATGTTGACTATGGAGACATTTGACGAAACTAGAGACCCCTTTGATAATCTCAACACTTATAAAAATCAAATGGAGGTCCACGGGTACCAAGACCTAGTTTGATGTAGGGCTTGCCATCACCCTCAAAGGCTTAGCACTGGTTTGGTTCAACATGCTACCTCTGTCTTCTATCTCCTCTTTCAAGGAACTATCTATGGGGTTTGTTTCACACTATTAGTGCAAGGACTCACTTCAAGTTGACCTCTTACCTTCTTAGCATTAATCAGAAACTAGATGAGTCGCTCAAAAAGTATGTGCAGTGCTTCAGTTAGGAGTCCCTTCAAGTTGACGACCTACACGACAAGGTGGCTTTGACTGCTTTCCTGGTCGAGCTCCAGACTTCTGACTTCCTTTTTATAGAGTCTAAGAATGCTTATGCCAGCATGACAGAGGTGTTGGATAAAGCAGAGAAATATATTAATAGGGAAGAAGTTCTCCATGCTAGGCACAACTCTTTGGTTGTGTCAAGCCAAAGGTTTCAAATCCTGAATTCATGTCCCAATTTAGACCTATTAGTCTCTATAACGTCCTATACAAAATCATTTCTAATTTTTTAGCTAATAGGTTTAACATGCTTCCCTCGATACTTTCGGAAAATCAAAGTGTTTTTGTCCCAAGTAGAATGATATGGATATAATTTAACTTGAAAGAAAATTTGCCCCTATTTAGAGAAGATAAAACACAATTAAGAACATCATGTTCTACTATAAGTCAATACTTTTGAAAAAAGAGTGCAAGCATATCATCAAGAATGGAGACAAAAGGGAGAAAGAATCTAGTTCCAATAAGAGCCGAGACCGATCTCCTAAAAGAAGGGGAGATGTACGAGATCGACTAGGACCTCTAAAATCAAACTTCCATATGTGCCTCGCCCCAAAATAGTGCATGCCCTTGAACACTTCAGTAGCATAGATATTACATCAAGTTCAAGAGGAGAAGTATGTAAAATGGCCTTCCAAGATGAGGTCAGATCCTTGAAAAAGGGACATGAACATGTTCTCCCGATTCCACAACGACCACTACAACACAGATTGCATCCAATTGAAAACAGAAAATGAATTTCTCGGATTTGGGTTGCATTTCTAAACAACCCGACTCGACGGCAGTTCCTCGTGTTGCGACAGGGTCTAGGCACAACGGGGTTCTCACCCTTTTTGGCACCCGCTTACAAGGGACTTGGGCCCAGTCCGTTGATGAAAACACTTATCTACAGTACAATTTGAGCAGCGTAATCATCCGATTTTCAAGTTGGACTATTCCCGGTTCACTCGCCGTTACTAGAGGAATCCTTGTAAGTTTATTTTTCTCTGCTTGTTGATATGCTTAAACTTAGTGGGTAATCCCGTTTGACCTGGGGGCGCAATCGAAGCACCATCATTGAGGGTCACGCTTGAAGCTCGCTACAAACTTGGTGCCTCACGATATGATGCAAGAGGTCTTTTAACCACCACTTATCGTGACGTCCATTGTCAAGAACTCATTTTTTGGGCCAACCGCACACAGTCATGGACGGGAGGCCAATTTTTGCCCCAACTCCCACTATATCCTAATAGGCATTGGGGTTGGGGCGACGTGATGCGTGAGGCTCTGGCAGACATGCCCTTAGCTTAATAGCTTTGGGCGCAACTTGTGTTCAAAAATTCGATGGTTCACGGGATTTTGCAATTCAAACCAAGTATCATTTCACTATGTTCTTCATCGATGCAAGTGTCGAGATATCAGTTGGTGAGTCGTTTTAGATTCAAAAGATGCAAATGCCTCCTGTGAATCAATTTTCAACACTCGATTCGATTACAACACCTCAATTTCAATGCAACGAACTGAGGCATCGATGAAGAACGACTCTAGACCATGGTCGTGGGTTACAATATACAAGACCAAAGAGGAAAAGAAAAGGAAAGAAAGAAGAACTGAAGAACAAGAATCATGTGTTAAAGTTTTTAGTATTAAAAAAGAAATTTTAGATTAAATTTTGGATCAATAATGCTCTAATACCATATTAAGTTTAGAGAATGAACACAATATGAGAGGAAGAGAAGAGTCTAACATACCCTACCTCTCATTCTCAACTTGAATTTATAGTTACCTAATAAAGCACAAAAGACTAATATACCCTAAGGGAGGTATATTTATTACAACCATATTAAATGATAACAATATAATTATAATAATACTTTCAACAACATGCAGCAAGGTCTTTGCCATGGGTGAGGCAAGGTGGACAATGGAACGCAAGATAAATGATGGGTCTCGAAAAATTATGAGGACATGTAGCAACAAAAGACCACATAGCTGAGGATGACAACATGTAGTGGGCACAATGGAGGCAATATTGGTGCATGACTTCAAAAAGCACGGCTTTGGTTTGGGTCAATATGCTTCATTGGTTCATGGGCAAGGCTTGGCTACTGATTTGCAAGCATGTGGCTAGGAAAGGTCTACTCAATGCATGGAATCAAGTAGTTGAGAGCGGTTGTTGTGTATGACCTGATCATCAGAGGTAGTCATGTGGCTCGGGAAGGCGATAAACGAGCTACGAACCCCTAGGGGCCACTGTAGGCCAAACAATAGCAGTAGCAACATCAACTGCCTATTGGGGAAATCCAAGTCATCTCTAGTGGCTTTGTTGGAGGAGAGACCAACTTAGCTTGCAGGGCTTACGTATGCAAAGCTCGTTCAGAAGACTTTTTCGAAATTGTTCAGTACAAAAAGCACCCTAACTCAACATAGAGATTTCCTTCTCAAATGTAAAACTGAAGGGGTGTCCACTCCCACATGATGATCTGTTGTATGAGTTGTCAAATGTCTATCGTGTGCTGGTAGAAAACGAAAGTTAAGTCGATATCATCTTTGACGAAACATTTGATCAGCTCGGGATCAGTGGGGAGCAATTCCTACCCTTCAGGTCTCCTCTAGTCAACTTCCCCAGAGATAATGTATATCCCCTAGGCTCAATTCAATTATCCATTGGGGACCTTCCTTGTCAAGCCACCACCCTCGTTAAGTTTCTGGTAGTAGAAACCCCATCAGCTTGTAATGTGATCCTCGAATGGCTTTCCTTGAGTGTCCTTTAAGGCTATTTCTTGGCCCTATCATTTGCCAATGAAGTTCCTTACCAAGAATGGGGTAGGACCTGTCAGGGAAGACCTAAGGATTGCAAGAAAGTGTTATCTAACCTCCGCGAAGCAAAAAGAGGTGGACACAGTCGAGATGGATGATCTGGGCATGAGAGATGAGATAGATTCAAGGCCCATGCTCCTTGAGGAGGTTGAGACAGTTTAGGTGGGTGCAGATCTAGGTCAAATTGTCTTCATCGAATCTAAACTATTGAGT